GTTTTGTTTGAGGAAAGTTTACTTAACAGAAGCAGTTTTTCCATAATAACCTTGCTACATTTTACACACATTACTGAGATGCTCTATATTCGGAGGGTTTTTTTTTGGTATAACTTAAAAATTTAGCTTATAAAAGTAGTCCAGGCTTAATGTAGCAAATTCAGTATACAATGAGTTTACAAATCTGAAAGGTAAAAGTGAAATTCCCCCAACTTCTCCTTCCCAGTCCCACTCTTCAGAGGTGACTGCTTAAAATGTTTGATGTAGAAATGCTTCCTTAATCATCCCATAGAAATGAATGGCTTAGAAATTATAATACAGTTAAAGCACTGCTTCCCAGATCCTTGTCACATCATGTTATAAACCAAAAATTGAAATTTATAAGGCACACTGGGTTAAATTAGGAGACTGAGGTAACTGGCCTGGAAACGTCAACCACCTGGCAAGCCCAGTCTCCCTGTGGGCTGAGTGGATGAAAGTATCAGTACGCTTACAAATTGGTTAGTTAGGAACTAACTTGGGGCTAGAGTTATATGGATAAATAATTTGCATCCTGATACTCTAACTCAGAAGTTGCAAACTAAAATGGCTCTGGGGTGAGGTAGGTCATTGAAGTGAGTGAAATTGGGAGTGAGACAGTAGGAGGCGGTGGAAACTTTGACAGACTGAAGAACTGAGGCCGCATGTAAAAGGGGCAGCCACCACTCAGTTCCAACTGATTATTATCCACCCAGAATATGTGGACTGATAGGCATGGGATTGCCAGATGCTGTACTTTTTCAGAAAATCAGGCAGAAAACCCTGATTTTAGTATTTAAATAAATCAGATTCAGTTCACGGACCATCAGTTTATTTGTCCTCTGTTCTGACTTAATACTGGCTAGGACTTGGAGAGTCTGTATAGAGTTTAATGCTATTGAAACTTGGCCAGAATTTGCTTACTTCATAGACCATTAGGTTATTCATATTCACCATATATATTTTTAAATTGATACAACTGCAAACTTTGTCTTTTAGCACGTCGGGTTTGGAAAAATTACCTCCCAGCAATTAATGGGATTGTCTTTCTGGTGGACTGTGCAGATCATCCCCGACTTATGGAATCCAAAGTTGAGCTTAACGTATGATTATATTTTCTTTTTCTTTTCTTGGCCTCTGTTTCTTTTAAGAAATACAACTTAGTACTGCCAGTACTTAATCATTCCAGTTAACATTTGGTAAAAGTCGTAGCTACAGGAAGAAAGTGTTTTAAAACCAAAAACATTATTTTTCAATGTTCTGAGGAAACTTGGCTTGAACACAAGTAAATTAACTTTGCTTAAATTTATCATAGGTTGATTCTATGTGCAGTTTGCTCAGGACATTTCCTCAGTTAATGCCATTTTCCCAGCATAATTAATGTCTTTCCCTTTCATGCATCACGTATGTTCACTCTTTATGATGTGTTGGCATAGTGAAACCTTAAAGGAGATATTAGAGTTCTTTGTGTTTTTGAATCTGTGTTCTCAGGTTGTACCCGCCCAACGTTTGTCATTGAGTGACTTCCCAGACCGTAACAGGCTGTTCTGTCTTTAGTTTTGATCACATGCATTGTTTGATACTATTTTTTCCTTTTTCAACATTGCATTTTTCTTGTCTTGATAATTTCTGTAACGTTGCCTTTGTAATCCATACTGTGTCACTCTGTGCCTCTTCTTTCTCTTTGATTTATAACTCTCTGCATTCTTGTTCCTGGCAATTTGAACCTCTCTCTGGTGTAAGTATGTTTGTTGAATCTGAAGCTGTAGTCTTCTAATCCTTCCCTTACTTGACCCCTTGGCACTTGTCATTCTCTCTCTCTCTAAACGCCCTTGTACATTCTTGGTTTTGGTGTTCTCTCTGGCTGATACTTCTCTGACTCTTGGCACAAGCACCCGTTCCCCTGCTTAGCCCTTAAATCTTGGTGCTCCCCAGGGTCTGTACTTTTTCCCAAGCTGGTCCAGGCTTCTCCCATTGTTTCATCTGCAACCCATCATGCCAGTGACCCCCAAATGGGTTTCTGTTATTTAAATCTCTCTTGAGCTCCAACCTCATACATAGTGCTACTTATTAGAAACTCTGCCTACCAATTCTGTACTGTCAGAATGGAACGATTCGTCTTCCGCATCCTGTACCTGGACATGCAGTGAATTACTATAGATTTCAACAACACCCTGCCACATACTACTTGTCTTTGTCCTCCTTAATATTCTGGGGATAAAATCTACAGCTCTTTTGCATAGCACATAACTTCTTTCATAATCTTTCTTTTGTTTGTTTCTCCAGCTTTTCTGTTGCCTACCTTGAACTACATTCCAAACATAGATAACAACTTGCCCTCCCTTGAATATTCAGAAGTAACTGTCTCTGCCTGGTTTTCTCATCTGATCCTTACCCCTTTTGCTCATAAATTTATAAATGTCCTTTAAGAGATCCCAGAATTCAGGTGTGACTGTTTCTGAGAAGCCTTCTCTGACCTCTCAGACTGTTAAGACTATCCATCTTACCAGCATCTGTTGTTTTTACTGATTTTCTTAGGTCTCTCCCACTGGAACTTAGGGATCTTGTCTTATTTCTTTGTGAAACCCCCATATCTAGTAAAGCCTTGGGCATATAATATGCACTTTGTTACTATTTAATGAATGAATGACATCCTTACTCTGATTTTGTCTAACATTTCTTGGTACTTGAGATGTTCATAGTAGGTTTTCCTTTATACTTTCAATTCTTCCCTCCTTTCCTAGCTCTTCCTATCAGTGAAATAGATTCCCAGGCTTGAAATCTTTGCCAACTTTGACTCCTGTGTTGTCTGTCTTATCATTTAGACATCAGTCTCTTCACTTTCTCTGGAATGCTTGCTGCACATTCGGTATGTGTTGCTATCTTAGGCTAGATCATCATCCCGTACCTGAGCACCACGGATAGATACTATTTGAGAATTCATTGTACTGGAAGTGTAGATTCTATCTAATAATTCCTGGATTTAGGGTCTATTGCAGCTAACTTCTCAGACTGGTACCATAATATTTGTCATACCATCCCAACTCATTTACTCTGTCAAGACATGTCAACATAAATGCTTTAATCCAGCCAAGTGATACTCCATATGGCTTTATGAACTCTTCCTACTGTAAAGCCATTGCTTATCTTCTTCATTCTTTGGGTTGTACCTATCCAAACCCTGCCCGTCCTTCAGAGTCCAGTTTAGTTTCCACATCTTTGTTAAGACTTTGCTTAAGTCCACGTCACCGTTTTATTTTCCTGAATGTCTTTTAGTATTTGTATTCTCTTCCTATTCATTGTGACAGTTAATCATCCACTTGCCTTGCTTTATTGAGAGATGAGAGCATAGAGTGAGGATGTCTTGAGGCAGGGATGTGTCTTACCTTTCTTTTGTCTTCCTGTCATTGTTGGGGATAGTATGTTGCACATGGGGGCATCTAGTGAATACTTGGGGATTCCTTTAGTCATCTTTGAGGCTCTGCAGCCAGAGCTTTGTTCTTTCTGGACAATGCTCAGTGGAGAGCTGCGGATGGTCTGTGGTCGAGTGATTTAGCTCAGAGTTAAGGTTCTGCTGCTTTACAAATAGACACAACTTTACATTATAATTGTTTTGACGCTTTGGGTAAATTTTTATAGATTCCTCACCCAGCTCTTTTTTTAAATCTTGGCTTTAGGCTTTAATGACAGATGAGACAATATCCAATGTGCCAATCCTTATCTTGGGTAACAAAATTGACAGAACAGATGCAATCAGTGAAGAAAAACTCCGTGAGATATTTGGGCTTTATGGACAGACCACAGGAAAGGTAAGAGAAAAAATCTTCAGCAGATACATTATAAAGGCAACTCACAGCTTTTGAAACATTCATGTTTTACAATCTAGATTTTACTTGTCTTTTAAAAGTAATTGGGCTTAACATTTGTTTTAGTAGAGGTGATTTGTAGACTGTGAAGACTGGAGCATGTTCTTTCTTCCACTGTTTTCTAATGAGAGTTTTCCTCAGGTATTTGAAAGAGTCTTTAGCTAGAAATTTTTTTGGACTGGAAATTTTAGGTTATGAAGTGTGCTCGTTTATATCATTTTCTAAGCATTGAAATCAGAGTACTGGGTTATTCTCTGTGCTCCCTGCTGAGAGAGGTAGGGCTGTTACCCCTCTTTGGAGATGAGGAAGCTAAGAGTGATTGGTTCAGGTCTACACAGCAAGTCAATGATAAAACCAGGAATAGAACCCAAATCTTCTACATCAGTAGAATCCTGTTGCAGAAAAGTATGCTTGTGAGAGAAAAATCCAGATAAGCTCTAGTTTATAGGAATCCTGGTCTTTTCAGCATAAGGTTTGGTATATTTAATTTTTAAAAATTTCCTTTTCTGGAATCTATAACTTCCTGACTTTTTTTGCATGGTTCCTTAGTCTTGCCTCTTTTTGGTTATATAGTTTTTTCTAGAAATACTTCTTTTCATTAACTTAGTTTTCCATTTTACACACACATGAATTTTTAATTTTCTTGACATAACCTATCACTCATATATATTTCTGAATGCTTGTATTAATAAGAATGTGCTTATTTCTAAGAAATCCTGGACCTTTTTTGTCCATAAGAGAACATGCTTTTCTTGGTTTGCTGCCATAGTTTTCCAGACGAACCAGTTGGTGTGTTCAAAGCAAAGGTGCTTCACAGTGAGAGAATCTGGGAGTAGGACTCTACTGAAAGCACAAACCCCAGTGGCCTTGACCACATTTCTGTAATTAGTTCTGGCTCAGGTTTGCTTCTGACGGATGGAGAAAGTGATTTTTGTCTTCACCCTTGCAAGCTTTTCCACATGGAATCTAACATCTTGGTTTTGCCTCTCCTAGGGGAATGTGACCCTGAAGGAGCTGAATGCCCGCCCCATGGAAGTGTTCATGTGCAGTGTGCTCAAGAGGCAAGGATACGGCGAGGGCTTCCGCTGGCTCTCCCAGTATATTGACTGATGTTTGGACAGTGAAAATAAAAGAGTTTTACTTCTCTGGACTGATCCTATTCACAGCTTCCTCATGAACTTTTCTAATAGAACAAGGAAAGCTCTCCGACCGTGTCTGGCGTTGAGAAGCCAAGAGTCTGTCTGCTCTCATCGCCCAGTGGTGACATGTGCTCTTCTCCGCACTGTTGGGAAGTACTGCTGCCCCATGTGCTGGTGCAGCTCAGCACCCCGGGACTTGAGGTGGCAGGATTTGTCGCGTAGAGCTGTGTGCCATCACGGGCCACCTGGAAAGAAAAACACGTCTCACCACTGTGGTTGATTTCAAAAGAAAGTGATTCTATTTTTTAAAGAAAGTGTTGTTAATGTAATTGGTGACCCTCCTCATAACTTTTTTAAGTTCACAATATACTTGGTCCAGAGTTTTTTTTTTTTTAATCTAGTGAATGGCATTTAGACATTTCATAAAATTATGCACAGATACACGTTGGGAGTCCAGAGCTCAGTTCAGTGAGCAGCAGGCTGGTGAGAGAGGCTCCCCGTCTCCCTGGCTGCCTTTGGTAGGTGGCACCACCCTGTGCACAGAGCCCTCGGAAAGAGCAGAACTCCAGCCTTGCAGCTGAGGCTGGTTTCCACTGTGGTGGGCTCCGGTCATGTCTCATCCCAGCATGGATAGTAGATGGGTCACTGCGGAGGAGTTAGTTCTAGTGTGGGTTATTGTTACTGTCTTTACTCAGTAAGTTACCAATTTCAGCCAGTCTTTGCTTTTATGCAGTTTTACAATTTCGTTTCTTTCTGTAGCACCTTTTTCATTTTCAGTTGTAAAAAGTGACTTTCACCTCATGAAAGATTTGAGAACATCTCCCATGTTGTCACACACTGTAGGTGTGTCTCAGTCATTTTTGCAAATTCTAGGGGACATTTTTTTTCTCAATAGGAGAGTCACACAGGACACAGATAACAGCTTAAGAACTCTTAATTCTGTGAGTTGAGAACTTCAACATCTGATACTATAGCATTTGTTTGAATCTAGGAAAGATTTACTCCACTTGCAGAGTTTGGTTTCTTTATTGGACTCTTCATGAACTCTTTTTTTGTATTGGTAATCAGGTGTTTTTTTTTTTTTTTTAGAAAGATTTTAGAGATTTCTTTTTAGAAATG